ACTGAAATCATGCATTAGTTTACATAAAGTTTGTCATATGTGTCACACGAATCTAAAAGGAAAGGAAGATCATAGGAAACTTAATCTATTCTTGTATGTTAGATAAAATCATATAAATCTGCATGTGAGCCTTCCTCTGTAAAAACTGTGGGGGTTTTATGAGGTGTGGGATGCTCTGAGAGTTTCCATTGTGTTACTTGCTATAACAAATTACCATTATTATTCTGTGCATTTCTGTTTCGTAACATGTTGTGTTTTTTGTTAGTCTGTTCAAAATAATAAAACAGATTAAACTAAACTAGAGCTGCCCAGGGATAATGATCAAGTCTATAAAAAAACGAAACTCTCCAATTATGGTTTACAGTATTATTAAATCATGAGAGGCCTTAAAAAAAAGGTTGAATGAGTCTTTGTGTGTACAAGTGGATAACAAGCACTAGATTAGAGCCCAAGGGTGCTGGTGGTTATGTTTAACTGGCTTTGAATTGGGATGTATGGTGAACCCTTGCTCTTGTGGCTTAGGCCCCTCTGGTTCCAGGTCTGTGAGGTTGGAGTTGCTGAACCCCAGTCGATTTCCAGGCCCTTTGTGTGGTGAATTGCCTACCCAGGGGGAGGTGTCACTGCCTGACATCTCCCGGGTGGGTGTCCTTGGCTGAAAAGTAGCACGGTGTGCAGACTGCTCCCTGGGCCTGCACCAACCTGTGGCTGGGGAAGTCCATGCGGCACCTTGTCCTAGAGTGGAGGAAAGGAAAAGCTGCCATGGGTAGTGAAGCAAACTACGCCAAAACCAAGGACTGTGTGCACTACACTCTTCCTGCAAAACAAAAACTAAGGGATTTCCTTGTTAGGGCACATACCTCTTCTTCTGGTATACCTGCTGCTCTGGCATGCAGTTTGGCAGTACTCTGCCTTGGGTGTGACACTAAACCACATGTGCTGCAACACTCGGCCACAAGGGCTGGTGTTGGGACCAGGGTCTGTGCTTGAAGACGTTAGTACGGTCTGCTCCCCTTCAGGGGCGTGTGAGCAATGCTGGGGCTTCTGTACTGATTTTTTTGCTTGGTGGTGGCTTAAATACTTGACGATGTCACCTGGTATCTTCGGTGTACATGTTTTTCTCCTTTCCTCTGTGCCTTTTGAAGGTCTTTGCATTTGAACTGCCATTCACCACTTCTCAGGAGGCTTAGTGCACTCTTCGTCTTCAGGGACTCTTCCAGCAGAGATGTTGAGACAGTGCCAAACTCTTATTCCATGAGTGGTTCATGAGGAGCTCCCCTGAGGAAAGATCTTGTCTGACATGGTGTCTCCCCTTCCTAGCGTCTCCATTCCTTGGAGTGTGTTCACTTGCTTTATTCAGCCCTGTATCTTTGCAATATTATTTGAAAACACCTGTATGGTCAGACAGAAGCAGTCAGTTCAAAAAGTTTGGCCAGCCCATCTGGACTTCTAGCTATGTGCTCTACCAGGTCTGCCATCTTCCAGCCCATAGAATCATTAAGGTTGGAAAAGACCTTCAGGATCACCTGGCCCAACCATCCCCTACCACCAATGTCACCCACTAACCCATGTCCCCAAGCACCATGTCCAGCCTTTCCTTGAACACCCACAGGGATGGTGACTCCACCACCTTTGTGGGCAACCCGTCCCAATGCCTGACTGCTCTTTCTGAGGAGAAATGTCTCCTCATTTCCAGCCTGAACCTCACCTGGCCGACTTGAGGCCATTCCCTCTAGTCCTGTCACTAGTTACCTGCAAGAAGAGGCTGGAAGTTAGGAATGATTGTAATACTGGTGAGTTTGGGGCTGACAGCTTAAAAACATGAAAGTGAAATTCCCCATTTGTGGGGCAGTTTAGATAAGGAAACATAAGGACTTCCCTCATCCTATACTAGAGTATAGTTATTGCCTGCCAGAGCTTCTGTTCATAAATGTTGTGTTGGAGAAACACTATTTATTACTTAATTTTGAGATTCTTACTTGTGTTTTAGTTTCTTTGTTTGCTGGGCTGCATACTGTGTATGGTTACTGCAAGACTCTGTGATAATGCTGATGCCAGTAAACAAAGAGAAGAATGAATCTCTGCAAAGGTATTAAAAAGTGCTAAGGCTTTTTTTTCTTCTTCTTCCCGTTAACCCGTTCCTTCCTAACCCATTAACCTGCCCAGGAGTTGCTCTGCAGTAGAGCAAATTTGCCTTTCTGTAGTTGGCTGCCTTTTTTCCCCATGGGTGGAAGGAAGCCTGTGCTGGGTAGCTTTGCAGAGTTCTTGTGACTTGTGATTAGAGCTATGTGGAGCCCCAGATTTACTCATTCATTTGACGTGCAATAAATTTAACCACTGCTAACGCTTCAAAATCGTTCTACTGGGATTGTTTCAGGACAAAAGACTGTTTCCTTTATTGTCATGTGGCCTAATTTTTTATGACAAAGAGCTTTGCAGCAAAAACACGGGTGCGAATATAGCACCTGCATACAACTGTGTTTAATGTTTATGGACCACCAAAGATGGTATTCAAAACATACACAGAGGCATGCTTGCACTCAGATTCTGCTGTTTAATGGAAGACTTATCTTAATAGCATGGTGCTGTTATGCTTGTGTTTTGTTCTGCCTTTTTTTTTTCTTAACATTATTTAAAGAATACACAGGGAAATACCCAAGCAGTGAGGCTGATGCTTATACATAGCTGTTTTCAGTAACTTAGACCAAGTAATACTCACTTATAAGCCTTTTTGACTTGATGTTCACCCCAAGAAGGGGTGTGAAGAGCACGCCCTGCCTTTAGGAGAGGTGACCTGATGGGGAGGCAGGATCTGTCCCTGTGAGGTTCGCCTCTCTTGCCTTGCTTTGCAGGATGAGAAGTCATCAGACATGATTCATGTAGACCGTGAAAGATTTTTCAAGAGTGCTGTCAGATGTTGTGTTTTTAGTGATTGGTCCTCACATCTCAGACAAATAAATAAACGGGAATCTCATATTTGGTATATGGCTTGTCTGTGTTGCCTGATAACCTGAACCTGAGTGCTTGTCTCCACTCTCCTCACCTGCCCTCATCTGCTCTGGCAACCTGATTTCTGGAGAAAGTACAATTTGACATTTTTTCGGGTGGCGCCGTGCTCCATCAGGCTGATTTACAGCCAGAAGTGATTCATTTGTCTGAAGAACTGGTCCTGCAGGTGGTCCCTGCCATCGTGCACATCTGCAGGTGCCTCTGAGAGGGAATGCTGTTTGGGCTGCTGCTTCGACTTCTTCTGGGCAGGGCGGCCTTTGCTGCCCCTTGTTCCATGCTGAGTGCTGGAAACAAGATTCAGGCTCGGGGGTTCCTGCGGCTGCAGCATATTTACAGCTGAATCTCTGTCTGGGTGTGTGTTACTGCCATTTGTGGTGCTTTTTTGTTTTGTGCAAGTGGAAACCAGGGAAAGTGATGTGTGCTGCAGCTCTGCAGTGGCTTGCAGGAGAGATGGGGAAAAAATGCCCCAGCAGCTCAGCTCTTCACGTACACTTGAATTATGCGGACTGATGTCGTGTCACAAAGTAGTTGTATCAACCTGTACTCAAAGGGACAGGTCAAGTCATGACAAAATCCCACTTTTCCCAGACTCTGGGGGTTTCAGCTATTGCCTCGATAAATGTTGCACTGGAAACAGAGGAGTAATGCACAAAGAAGACTCCAGGTCTGTTAAAGTAGGCTTGACCTGGCAGACGTGGCGCAGGACAGATAGCACGCTGTTACTTATGAGTAAGGAATGTAGAGAGTATTTATAAAAAGCATATGTTGCCTGGCCCTCACAGACGTACCCCACCTCCTCTGTCTTACAAAAAAACGAAGGTGTTTGCACGGTAGCAACAACTCGGTGGCATTGCTGTTGAATCATGTATGTCACGGGAAGCCTGGTGGCTGTTAGCAACAGGAAGGATTGTTTTCCCCTTAGCCTGTTTACAGCTACATGCTAAATATTTAGGTTGATTCATGGTTTCACTGGGTGCCTTCTCTGCCTTTTTTTGTTTTTTTAATATCCTTAATGTTAATACTTCCAAATTCCATGTTCGTTTATACAACCCTCACCACATACAGACGCCAGATGTGTATGTGCATGTATACGTGTGTGTATATAAATAAGTCCAAATGTACAGATACAGTTAGTTCTAAAGAGAATCAAGTTATCTTCAACTGCACGTAAAGCGAAGCCTGTCAGCAGCTGTTAAGCAAGATGGCTGTAAAAAAAAAAAAGTGACAAGAAAAATACATTAATACATGATGTCAAACAAATGTCATAACAGCTTGTTATATACTTTGTTTATGAGACAAAAATAACGAACCCTCGTTGTCATTAGATGAGTTAACTTATCTTTAACTTCAGTGTCTTTGTAGAAGTGATGCTGACTAGTAGAGCAGCTTCTTAGCCCAGTCCTGATGTCAATAAAGCATTTAAATAAATGCTATGCCTCCAGTATGCGAAAGCATTTTGAAAGTGAGGTGGCAATGAATGTTCCTCTAGCACCAGGCTGATGCTCCAGCTTCTGCCGAGTCCTTTCCCTGGGTGTTCCCAAGCAAAAGCTTCTGTCCCATAGCAGAAAATCACCACCTTTATTGTAAAGCTGCCACGTGGCTGAGAAGCACGTGAAGAGCCGACAGGGGAATAGGACAAGTGCTGCACTTCTGATGTTGGACCGTGTTAGTTGCTGCTAGGGAAGCACATCTATTGTTTCACTGCGGCAGACCTGACCTAATGCTAGGGAACAAGTCTCTCCCATCTCCGTGTCGTGAGGCTTGCCAAATTCAACCACATATTTTAGAAGGAAAACTAAGGAAGTGGTTTCTCTTTAATCAGATAAACTAGAGGTTCAGGGCAATTTTCACTAATTAGCTTAATAGCACTTGCGTTAGAAGACTGCAAATCAGGCAAAAAGAACAATTTTTTAGAGCATTTGAAGGATGTCCTGCTACTACAAGGCCACTCCAGTCAAGTTATGGCTCTTTTTTTTTCTTTCTTTTCTTTACAGGTTAAACATATTACTGGCTGGTATGAACCCCTTCTATTTCCACGCGGTGAATGTAATTTTACACTGTCTAGTGACTCTTGTGCTGATGTATACTTGCGACAAAGCTGTGTTCAAGGACTGTCGACTTGCTTTTGTCACAGCGCTGTTCTTTGCTGTGCATCCCATTCACACCGAGGCTGTAAGTATGCGACACAAAATGACACAGAAGCTAAAAATAAATGTACGCTTTCTTTCTTTCTTTTCCTTTAAAGAAACCTTTGAGTCACACAGAGTGTGGTGGTTGTGATATTTGCTTTGGAAGATCAAAGGTGAGAATATGCTATAGTTCAAAAATAATAATAATAAAAAAAAAGGTGCAGGAGTCCTTAAGAAATCCATGTATTCAGACTTGCCATCTTCCTGCTCCTGTGCTAAATTCTAAGTGCCGGTCGTAGGCAGCGGTGCCAGCAGCAAATGGACAGTCATTCACTCGATGAAAATGTCGGGTCTTCTGAAACCCAAGAAATCAGTGAGGCCACCGTCTCCTGCTGGGACATTGTTCCATGCATTCACTCATCTCCTGTAGCCATCAATTTAAGGGAGAAAAAGTGAAGGGAGCATTAGCGTGTATTCTGGACAAGATCACTCATTCGGATAGAGGCAATGTGACCTACAGATTAATTTTTACTGCTTGCAATTAAACCTAAGAATATCATCCTCAGAAAAACGTGTTAGCTTAATAAATGCCATGGTAAGTTTACAGAGCAACAGCTCATCCTGCACTTTTTCCTGTTTGTTCTACGAAAGCGTTTAAAGACTTAGTCATTCTACAACTGCAGTCTGTTAGCGTGGGGAGTTACTTCTCCTGTGGATAAAACAAGTCTTGCTGTCTTTGAAAAGGAGATGCAATGTGTAGCTGCCCGTGCTTAAAAAGAGAAGTGCGCTTGTTAGCTGAGATACCATTGACATCACGGACTTGTAACGAGCCTTTGTAAATTAGTGAGTGAAACAGCTGCCATGGCCGAGAACTTTTGAGGAGAGATTACCTTAATAACAAAAAGCCACGAGCTTTACAGTTACTCCCTGTGCTGTGTCGTGTGAACTAATCAGCTAGGCACCTTTTGATAATACAGCTTTGTAGTGCAGGGGAGGTTTTAGAAGAGGCCCTCTTTGAATTTATTTTCGTGGGGGTCAGAACTTAAAAAGGTTAAAATAAATGCCAGAGCACTGAATATAGCTTAATTGTGTAATTGCAAAAGAGGCAAAATTTCAAAGGGCCTTTAATTTGCTTTATGTTCAATTTTAGATCTTTATGAAATGGAATGTTGAAATATTTTATAAAAAGAATGTTTATAAGTTCTTCAGTAAGTTCTTACAGAAAGATTTTGTTAATAGATATGTGGAAAAACTTGTATAAATTCAGATTATTCAAAGAGGATAAATTACATACCACTGTATTACTTTTTCTTGATAAAGTTTATTCAAATGTTAATTTTTAACTCACTCCTATATAAAAAGTCTCCTCCACAGAGTTGTTCTTTGATTAGTCCTTTTCTTTACAAACCTCAATTCTGGGACTTTGATGTGTTTCTCATTCAAGTCTTATTACCCAAAATCAAAACAGATTACTAAAACCGGTGTTTTTCTATGCAACTTTAACAATATTTTAAAAAGAACTTAAAGGATGATTTGTCTGTTGGATTACTCACTTGTTTTGGCAAGTGGGAAATGCAGCAGACAAAACTGAGTATATCCTACACTAACCAAGGAGCATTTTGGTGTGATGAGGAAGGATAACAACGATATAAAAGCTTGAAATAGTAGCAGTTTGCCTGGATTGTTGAAGCAGTCAGTGAATGTGCGTGCCTTTTTATGTATCTGCTTTTACATCTGTACTTCTCTTTTGTTTTTAGGTAACAGGTATAGTAGGCAGAGCGGATGTCCTAGCCTGTCTACTCTTTCTGTTGGCTTTTCTCTCCTATAATAGGTATGGATCCTTGGTGTCTGTTGTTATGATATGAGGGGATGCTCTGGTTTGGGGAGAAAATCCATTGGGTTCTGGCTATTACTGGTAAAGGTGCTTCCTCCAGCACAGTGCTCTGGTCCCTGCTGCAGCTGCAGTGCCAAATAAGTGAAGCTTATTAAAATCTGTAAGCTTAAACAGAGAACTTGGCATTTAAGATGCCCTCTTCCATTGACATTACCAACTGACAATACACCAGAGGGGTGTTTGTAGAGCTAGACCTGAAATGACAAAGAATTGCTTTCAGCTGAAGGCAAATTGTCTCTTTGGGGAGAAGAATCCAGTCTGTGAGAGTTCGGGGTCACGTCCTGACCATTAGTTGTGCTTTTCAGATGAAAACTTAGCACTCTTTGAGGGTCTGTATCCTAAAACTGTAACCGAACAAGCACAGATAAGAAACAGCTTTACTTGGATAGTGTTTCTGCCCTTTCACATTGCTGTTTCATTTATGAACAGCACTGTGCCATCGTGATCCTGTGGAAAAGCTGCTTGTGTCCCTCTTGGGATGTTTGCTACAAATCTATAGCACTGTTTTCATCTGAAGGTTTCAAAGGTGTAAAACTGGAAGTGATCCTATAGGAAGTTTGTTTGATTTTTGTTTCTTACCTTTTGCCCTCTTTTACTTCTTTGCCCTACCTTTTACTTCCTCTGACTGTTTTAAGTCTACTTTGTCTTTCTGCTTGTCTCTTTTTCTTCTGCGGCTCAAGTTCCTGGTGTACCTCTCACTAGTTGTGTTTTCCTTTCTGTCTTAGTGTCTAAACCTTTCTACATGTATCAGCAAACAGTGTAGACAGTTCACTCGACTTACTACCAAGATCTTAAATCAAGAAGTACCTCAATATTTGTGTGAATGTACTACATTTGAAAATAAAAGTTAAAAATATGTTTGTCAAATCTCTTTTTCAGGAGTGTGGATCAGCTTTATGTTGGGGAACATTTCCCTCCCACTGCCTCCCCATTCTTTTTGCTGCTTAGTTTATTCCTTGGGACGTGTGCAATGCTGGTGAAAGAAACTGGAGTCACCGTGTTTGGTGTGTGCTTGGTTTATGACTTCTTTTCCCTCTCCTGCAATGCCCTCAAACTGTAAGTAATTGCTATGCTTGCTGTGCTTTCCCAGTGTTGCTGCCTGTATGTACAGAATATATAACACTGTACACAGCACAGTGGGAGATGGTCTTCCCTGCTGAATTAGGAGGCACACATCTGACTGATTAGGAAGGCAGCAAGATTACATTCTGGTTTTGTTCTTTGTTACTCTCTAGCTGCCTGTTAAACTTTTGCTGGGTATATGGACTGGATGTGAAGATCTGATCTCTAAAATGTTCAGTTCAGTCTGTCAAGACTAATTTATTTTTTTTGCATGGGAGCTTAGATTGAAGCATCAACATCTTAAAATTTCTCTACCTTAACTCCTTCCACTAGCAGCATCTGCATGATTATTCAGTCATAATGTCATGCTTGTAGAAATATGTTATGACACTTAATAGTAAAATCAGGTTTGATCCTTCCTGTCCTTACAAAATGGAAAAAGAGGGAAAATATCCAGCCAGTTCTGAAATGTTTGGAATAATTAGCAGCTCTGAGCAGATACTGGAGAAGAGTCAAATCCTTTGAAGACAGTATCCCTCACCCTCTTAGCTTCACAATAACTATGCAGCTCTGCACTTTCATTAAAAGGCAAAAGTCTTTCAGTTGATAGAAGCTGTTTTATATGCATTTCTGTCCCATACCACCCCTGGGACAGATTTGTCAATAAGTGAGCGAATGTAATGGCTTGCTGCCACTGATGATGGCAGATCTTGCTCCTGCCATCATTTCCCATGTTCCTACCTGCGTTGTCCCCTGGGCTCTGGAGCCTGTCCCACCCCTGCAGGAGCTAGTGTGCATAGACTGTAGGAAAGGACACTGAGTTCGTGTTCCTGCAGTAGTGAATTAAATCAGCTCCCAGCAGGGTTTGGGGAGTTGGCTGGGAATTTCTCCTGTTTTCAGCCGATGAGTAAGTCATAGTGGTGCCACTGGTGGGCAGGTAGCCAGCAAGGAGCTTTCTGGGGGCTGACAGCCTGCACACTGCTCATAACGCTTGCATTTGCAGGCTGCTGGTTGGTGTTCCAGAAGCTGCCTGGCTGTAGATGACACAAATGTTCATTAACCTTGGGAAAATCTGGGTCCCCTCTTCCCCGACTCCCCGCAATCTGCCCCTTCCCTTAGTTTTACTTCCCAGTGGCCTCTCTATGTTTTTCCTGTGCTTCAGTGGCACCCAGTTGCCCAGATCTGGCAGCTTGCAGCTCTGTAGCCCAGGCGTGCTGCATTTTAATATTTGTTCTAGTTGTATGCATTGTGCACTTTTCTATCTGTTTGTGGCACTCAGGGTTTTATGACTGCATATGAATTTTTTAAGGGGCAGCAGAAAACCAGCAGCCTCCTATGTGCTACTGAAACTCATCTCCTCCTGTTCCTACCTCAAACCTGTACAGATTTGATTTCTGTTTAAAAAGAGGCGGAGCACCAGTCATTTTCTGCAACAAAACAATGAGGGTTGTAGCATATTTTTCTCACAGTGCTTCCCACGACACCAGAGGTCCAGAGCAGAGTTTCACATGGGTGTGCTTGGCTGCTGTTGCTCTTGGTGTTGTCCCCTAGTTTGAGTTAGGAACCAATAAGTCCTGTCCTCCCAGATCATATAGACTTTGTATTTTAAATAAAATGTTGTCTGTTGCATGTTGTGCTGTTAACATAACGTTCAACCTTTTGATAAGTAAACATGGGAGGAAAAAATCCCTTAAAAGCCTTTTCTTATCTTTCCCATTCCCCCTTCTTCTCCACGCCCCCCTGCTTTCCCGTTTGTCGCCTGATCAGGAGAAATGAGGGGATCCACCAGAGACCTGGCCGGCCGTGCGTGGCTTCGACCCCTGCCTCGCTGCCGGTCCCTGCGGCCGGCCGGGAGAACGGGAAGCATCGCTTCGCTCACAGGGGCGCCTGGAGCTCGTGCCACCCCACCTCGCCCGAGGAGCAGCGCAGCGGTGGCCTTCCTGTGCCCAGCAAAGCCATCTGGGCCATTCGGAGGTACTGACGGCTGCCCGGCCCTCTGCTGCACAGCTCGTCCTGTCTTACCCTGTCAGCCCTGTTTTAGTGCTGAGTATCTCTAAGCACACATCTGTGGGTATAATTTCTACATGCATGTATGCAGGCATATCAATACGGTGGGTGTGCGTATTTATGTGTGCATGTGAAAGGAGAGGTGATGCCCGCTCCTGCTTTATGCCTGAGAGTTTGCATGTGACGGTGAGAGCTGGGCTCAGGCAGCAGCAGAGTGATTTTTCCTGCTGGCGTTGCAGCCGTTCTCAACTTGTGTCTCGTTTGGGAAGGAAGGACTCTCCCGTAACTGAAGGCCTGATGTGGTGCCAGGGCTCTGTGGCCTTGTTCATTTCGAACAGCACTGAGTTGGGAGGAGTGTTTAAGAGGGAAAGAGTCGGCTCTGGGTCATGGATCTGCGCCAGGATGTTGGGTTTTCTTGCTTTTAACCTTGACCTTTGCATAGTCTCCCAGCCCTTGCCTGCCAGCTTGTGCTTGGCCTGGCGATGGGCTTCCTTGTCTCCTTGGGCTCTGCAGGGAGAAACAGAGAAGCACTTTGGAAGTGTTTCTGAAATCCAGTGAGGATTTTTCCCACGTCTCTCCCTCTCTCTGGAGGAAGCTGCCTTTTCTCTGTTTGTTTTACTGGACTGTTCCTCTTCAGTTAAGTTCACGACTTTGAGGCTCGTGGTGGGGGTGGGAGAGGGAAAGAAGGGAAGGGCAGTCAGCTCTTCTGTCACCGAGATGCTCCCACTGTCTTGTCCAAGTTGCCTTCAAGTATTTTACATGATTGAAATTCAGAAGAAACCCTGAGCTGTAGAGAGGTGTGGGACTTGTGTTTTCTGGAAGGAGGACTAACCTCTTGCTGTCATGCTGTGGGGTGCTGGTTTCTGCTGGTTATCTCAGCTGCAGCCATCCCGGTGAGCAAACAGCAGGTTTTAGCATCAGCATGCTGCATTACTGCTGATTTTTGTTTTTAGCTACCAAATAGCCACAGCATCATTTTCTTTGGAGACCTATAATAATGAATCGCCCCACACCACCTATTTCTTGCGGAAAGTGCTGTGTTCCTTGATTAGATCAGAAATATCTGCTGCAGTTCCTTGTTCGTTTCATCTTCCTGCTGCATCAGTATGTATGATATACAGGCTGGTACATGAAATCCATACCTTCTCACATCACAGAATCTGTTTGCTCTATATTTAGTCGCAATGGCTCAGCCCACTCGAGAGCTTCTACGGTGCAGACTGATGGGCCTGGTGTTTAGTCTGATGGGTCTGACTTGTGCACGGCTGTTTTTTTTGGCCTTGTTTTTAACAAAGAGAAGAGTGGGTTTGGCTGCGGTGCCTCCGTGTGTGGGAACCCGTGACAGAAGAATGACGAGGAAGTTGAGACTTTTCCGAGTGGCTTAGTGCCAGCTGCTCCCCTACCCGGACTCTGCTGCCAGTCGGGAACTGCTTCTAAAGTGTTAGTTTTTTTTTAATTTTCTTTCTTTTTTCTTTTTTGAATTTGTTTCTTCTATATCCCCAAATGAGTAGAAGAGTTAGATAAGCACAGATGACCCCCGTTCATTCTGTTATGCCAGGCCAGAATGGGCTGTCCAAGTGTCTCTTGTACCATCTTGCCCCTAAGGTTTAGTACCTGGTGGGGAAGAGTAATCTGAGCACAGGCAGTGGTGCAGCTGCTATTCCTGACCTTTCTTCTTTCCCTATTTCTTTAAATGCTTTCGTTCTCTTTGTATTTGGTCCTCATTTTCACAGACAGATACTACATTGGAGCGTGCCCATGTAAGAAATACCTCCTGTCTTCCTCCATCATCTTGTGCTTTGTTTCTTGTGCCCCTCTTTCTTTCTTCCCTCCTGTTGCTCCTTCCCCTGAGCTTTGCTTTATGCTTTTTCCAGACACTTTCCTCCTGCCCTCCTTTTTGGGATCGTCCCTTTCTTACACCAGGGGAAGGCCTCAGGTCTTCTGGCCTTTTCAGGGGGGTGTCAGAGGCTGTGTTGCAGAGACGGTGCACGTGGGGTGGCTTCAGAGGGAACTTTTTGATGCTGCCAGCTGGCATTTGCTTTTCGGCAGCTGCCTCTTCAAATGTTGTAAAGGATTTCATGGCAAATAGAGCTCTGCATGTACATAGCTGCTTTCTTTTTCAAAAGGGGCTCACGTGGCATAAGCCTCTCAGCTCCTCTTTTCAAGTGACAGCGTGCAACGTGCTTGTGACGACCCGTTGTGTGACAGCTCGCTGGGGGTGCCCAGAGTGGAGCTGGCTTGGACCCTGTAGCTGAAAGGAAAGCTTGCTGTGACACACTCATGTGGTGACTGGGCCTGTCAGCTCTGGGGGAAAGCCTGGGATGGGTTAAGGGATCCCACTGCTCTGTCAGGATTTTCCCCTAATGTTTGTATACACACAGCATCCAGGCAAGATCTTTCCGGCTCTCATACCTTACAGCACTGAGGGCTGCTTTGCTCTTGGCATTCCTCTTCCCCAAAGTAATCATGGTTTTGATACCTCTGAAGGCAATATTAGGTCAGATAATATCCTCCTGGTGGAGAGGGATTGTATTCATGGAATGACAGCCTCACAGAGCCTGGGCAATCTGACCGGTGCCAGCTTGTCTAACGTCAAAGTTTACTAGACGCTGCAGCGTTTGTCCCTTAAATAGCTCAAACAGATACAGCATTTTCAAGAGATCTTCTCAAATATTAACCACAGGGAGTGTGCTTGCAGATGTGTGGAACTGCAAGTTTAAATGTGTTGCAGCACAGTGACTCAAAGTGACATCCACGTCACCTGGGAGGCTGGGGACCACCACCAAATCATGGCTGTGTTCCTCCCCTTCATTCCATTTACTGCTTCTGTCACAGGACAGATTAAAATAGCTTAAATGCTTTCTGTGTGCAGCCTTTCCCTATTGCTATTGGCATATGATATGATGTGAAGTAGGAAGCAGGCAAAGCAATTGCTCTATCAAAATACAATCCATCTTCTTAGAAAAATAAATCCTTAATATTGACAAAAAAAAGGTAAGAGGAAAAAAATAGAAATTGCTGTCAAATATACAAAATTAATTACACAGTTTCTCCTCTGTAATTGATGTTTCTCTGACTTGTGTAGGTCAGCAAAAGGGAAGGGAAAAGATTTAAAAACGCTGAAGTTGGAGGCTGATTGGGCACATTCAAGTAGCTTCAGGTACCTTCCCAAGTGCACCAGGCTGCTAGTTGGAAACTCTTCATTCAAATAAAATAGTTGTGCGCTGCTTGATCTGTACCTCTAGATACTTGTAGTGTGATCAATTAGGTTTCTAGTTAATAATAATTTACTATGTACCATTCTACTAAAGCGAACTGAAAAATACAGGAAAACATAATGGAGGAGTTAAGGGAATCATTCTGATTAGTAGGAACTGGAGCTAGTTATGGAAATTCCTGGTGCAGAGAGGTTTCTGTTCTTCATTACTATGTGCTCTTATCTTTGGCTACCCAGTGAGCGTGCGGGTTGCAGTCCTGAGTGCATTCACAAGTAAGGAATGAGTTAGCCTGGATGAAGCTGCAGGATTTATCACCACGATTTATTACTGTTCTTGGGGATGCTGGCATGTACTGCTGAAGCGAGGTAGCTAGGATCTCTTACAAGTTTGATCAGCATCCCTGAGTTTTAAGACCCGAAAGAGGTTAGTGACCGTATACGCCCTCCAGTATGATGCAAATGGAGAATGGAAGAGAGGAACTTTCACATCAACCTTCACTTCTGTTTGGGATGAAGCCAGAGCTTCAGTGCTTTTACTATGGTAGTGCAGTATAGGATCACAGGGTAGTTTGGATTGGAAGAGACCATAAAGCCCACCCAGTTCCACCCCCTGCCATGGGCAGGGACACCTCCCACCAGCCCAGGCTGCCCAAAGCCCCATCCTGCCTGGCCTTGAGCACCTCCAGGGATGGGGCAGACACAGCGTCTCTGGGCAGCCTGTGCCAGTGCCTCGCTGCCCTCATTGAGAAGAGTTTCTTCCTCATGTCTGATATAAATCTACCATCTTTTAGTTTAAAACCGAGAGTGGAGTCTTATTATTGAGAGATATAGAATCATAGAATCATAGAATATTCTGAGTTGGAAGGGACCCTTAAGGATCATCAAGTCCAACTCTTGACACCGCACAGGTCTACCCAAAAGTTCAGCCCATGTGACTAAGTGCACAGTCCAATCTCTTCTTAAATTCAGACAGGCTCGGTGCAGTGACCACTTCCCTGGGGAGCCTGTTCCAGTGTGCAACCACCCTCTCTATCAGTGCCAATACCTCATTGCACACCATAGTGATACGCTGTTTGATCCCTAAAGATATTTAACAAGAACAGTAAGTGTAAAGCAACAAGTTGTCGTAATTCCTTGTGCAGGTTGTGTGCATAGTTGATCATTCACTTCTTCTTGATTTGCTGAACCCACTGTTAAATGAAAATTGTGATTTTTCATAATTTTTGATTATTTTTCCTTACAAAGCCGTATATCGTTACAATCATGTCACGTCATACATGCCTCACACTCATCATTGCTAAGTGCTGTGTAACCCGTGACCTCGCCCTCATAACACTTAGTAACCCTGATGGTTTTGAGCTTTCTAAATGAGTCTGTAGTGGGACCACAGTCGAAGCTTCAGGCGTTCTTGGAAAACAAAACTGCTCAGTAAGTTGCATGCTTTTGAAACAGGAACCTCTGTTTATCTTTGCTCATCTAGAAACTGATCTTTAGTGATTTAGCTGGGGAGGCTCTTCCCTTGGAATTGACAATAGACCAGTTTGAATGTGTCTGTTTTCTGTGTACCCTAGCCATTGCAGTAGTTTATTCTTTGTGCGTGTTTCTTCTTACTTGCTTGCCAAGTGACAGACTGAGAGAAGAAGCAGGTGTACTTGGAGCTGTGCCCAGCATTGTCAATTTAAATCTCTGCAGACGTGCAAAAGAGATCGAGGGAGCTCACTACATGTTAGCACTGTGGGATCCACGCAGA